GAACGGTCAGGGGGAGGGTCATGGTGGGGCTGGAGGAGCTTCAGGGGCTTTTCCAGCCTCGATGATTCTGTGCTAAAGGAGTGACATTATCAGCTAAGGCTGGGTAATGTCTGGTTGATGGTTGGCCAAGGAGGAATCCAAGTGGATGTCAGGGTTAATGTCAAGGGGAATCACATCCAGAGACGAGCAAAGAGCATTTGATAAGTGAACCAAATATCTAAATGAGGTTGGCATCATAAAACATGTTTTAGGAAGATGCAGCAAAAATTGGAAGCCTGTTTCGACATGTGGCAGGGCGTGTAATGCCATGAGGTGTGCAAGGAGTCACTGATTCAGAGGGCTGGTTCCGATCTTGGTTTTTAAAGTCAGACTTGCTGCTGCTTTGGGCATTGCCGTTTCCAAGGTTTGCACCCTCAGCTCACAAGGGTTAACTTACTCTTGCTCTTGTTTCTGTAATATCTGTATTTTAAGAACATTTGCCATTTCCTCTCCAGCTACATACGTATAGGTATGGTGATACCATTTGCCAGACTGAGTTCAAATTGTTGGCAGTTTCTGGTGGGAAGAGCACATTGTGATGGAGAGTCCTCTTCCCAGCCGTGAACAGGAATCTCTGGGCATTAGTGAGACACTCAGGGCATAACGTTTGCTGGTTGCTTGAGCCTCTTTAAGGAGTAAAAATTCTCTCAAAAACTTTGCCCGGGCAATTCAAACTGTTTTTTGTGGGACTCTGATGGATTTTGGCTAGCAATGGAGAAGAGGTTGTTGGTGTCAAAAAAAAAAAAAAAAACAGCTACTGCACTCAGGAGGTTCAGCATCACTTTGGCTGCCTTGGTGCTGGGTGGGTTTTGCCCGGACTGAGTTGCTGAAAGCTGGGCTGGGCTGCTTGACCTTTGCCCAAGAACGCAGGCAAAGGCTGGCGGTGGTTGAGGGGAGGAGAAGAGCTACGCAGTCGAGATGAGTTGTTTTTACTGGCAGTGAATTCAACTGCTTTCCAGAAATTAAAGCAAAGTGTTGTTAACTAACAAACATCTGCCTTCAGCTCACTGTGCTGAAAATCAGTAATTCTAGAGAAACTCTGCTGGACTTTGTGCCCTGGGGTTATCCAGATCCTCAGGACTGGTGATTCCAGAGGCTCCTCTTGAAAAGCAATAACAAAGTCTTGGTCCTTCAAGGCATGTTTGTAAGCACCAAACACCAAACCACCACCTATTTTAGGAAGGGTAAGTTCAGGAGTCAATACACTGTAGTTAATGGTGCTACTGTGAACTGTATTGTATTCAACTTAAAGATGGGGGAATTGGGTCTGTGCAGAAACACTGTGGGCTGGCCCCAGCTCCACATTATCCACACGTAACTTTGAAACCTTTCACTAGCTATGTGAAGTTGTTTACGTCCAAGCAATTGTTGGTTTCGGAGTGGAAGTTAGAAATAACTGCATGAAAACTCCCAGAACACCCTGCAACTAAATTAGTGGGACAGCAAAATTATGGAAAACTTAAAAGCTTTCCCAGAGCGGGCGAGGGAAAGGAGGATCCTGGGCTCACAAACTAAACAGGAACCTCCTCAGACTTGTTTTATTAAATGCCCAATATAAAACAATTTGTACCAAATAACCATGGGGAAGATTCATTAGCTACAGGGGAAGTTAAAACAAAATGCTCTAAGTACAGCTCAGCTTTTTTTTTTTTTTTCCACTAGGACATCAGAGAAAGGAAAAGGGGACAGGGAAGCAGACAGCAGTGTCCCAGCACCAGGGGTGACCCCACACCAAAGAGCAGGGCTGGTGATGGCAAGTGTGCAGTTACCAGCCACCTCACACGTCTGAATATTTAAAACATTTATTTATACAAAGGTATGGCATTTACAAGAGTTAAAAAATTAGACATTTAAAAGCAATATCACTGTATATAGAGCCTAAAAATAAATAGGGTGCAGCTCAGCATTTATGTGCTTTAAAAAAAAACAAAACAAAACACAAAACCCCAACAGCTCCACAGGCAGCTGGGGCACAGAGACCTGCTCCAGGGAGGATCCTGTGCGGGTTCCCTGCTTGGTCTCAGTCACCTTAATTTGCTTTTTTAAGCTCAGTGTCCATAATCCTTGAGTAAAGCTGGAGGCCCCATTTGAAGAGCACAACTGTGGCACTGCGGTGGGGGAGAGGGACCAGCCTGGCACAAAACACGGGACTTTCTCCAGCTGCAGCAGCGTCACGATCAGAGCAAAGCTGGTGGTGTGCTTAGGAGCAGCTCCTATTCGGGTATTTGCAAAGCACTGGTCTTGGCCTAACAGCGTGGCTGCAGCTGGACACCCTCCCTGGGATGTGGTACTTACTTTTCCTAGGCACGGCCATCGTGTGCCTGAGCTGAGACAATTTAACCATCCACCTCAGCATACTCTGAAATACCACTTTTTCCTCCCTGGACTACAAAGGGAGTAAAAGTAACTGGTTTAATACCTCTACAACACTGATGACTAGATTTGATCAACGACATCCCAGGCTTGGTGGGCAAAGCGTGCTACCAGGTACCCAAAAAGGTCTCTGCTCTGTCTGAGGTCCCCTAAACAGAGTGTGACGATAATTTCTGTTAGTGAATTGAGGAGCCAGCAAGCACTGGCACCTGGGTCATCTCGCTGCAGGCACCTTCATGTGGTGGGAGTGGTCCTAAAAGTCCAACACCTTGTGAAGAAATCCGGCCATTCCTGCAGGTGGTTATACATATCTAGCTCAGAGTTACCCTACCACAGGTTAGGCTTGTTAAATAACAAAGAAACTGCAAAATAGATGGGAAATAGAGGGAGACAACAGATGGAGAAGCCAGAAAATCCAGCCAGAAACCCAACCAGGGCAGCCAGCTCAGGTCAGGAGGTAACATCTGCTTCTTGCTGCTGGGTGGGAATCTTACGGAGTGACTCCTAAAGGCACGTGCTTCACTGCAAAGCCTGAAGTAAAAATGTAAAGCCTTAAAAATGTTCAGTTGAGCTGCTACCACCAGGGTGTGAGCCCAGAGACAGCGGGGCGATATGGCTCCAGCTCACCTCAGTTGAACCCATAAGCAAGACGGTCGTGGGTATCCCCAGATTTCCCGTGCGTTGCGCTGGCTTCCCACCACCTCTTCTCAAAGTGCATGTCCTGGATCCGGCCCAAAAGTGCTGCCAAAACGCTCAGCCAGTGCAGGAAACCTGTTTAACCCCCACCACAGGAGAGTAGCAAGATCCTTCCAGACTTAAACTCTTCCATTTCATAGCAGAAGAATAAAAATAAATACTGCTGTTGTAGAAGTCATAACCCCTCCCACCTCATTCTCCCCCAACCTGTAAGCACCTCTCCCAGCTCTGCTGGAGGGAGCTTGCAGAGGAGGGGGACAGGCTGTATAAAGACTGCAAGGTTGATTTTTTTTTTCAAGGTGTCCAGAGATAAGTTTAACTTGCATAATATAACAGATTGCAACTACCCTCTTAATACTGCGAGCAAGTCACAGAAGATCTCAAAGGACAGCAAAATGTGAGTTGAGGTCAGCTAAGCCTTTCCTCAAAGGTGTTGTTTGATATAAAAAGCTAAAAATAGGAAAGAAACGGTGCTTGAAGTTCAGTTTTCACAATGACGTATATATAATTTTTTAAAACACATCACCCAGCAAAGCAGACCAAAGCACAGCCTGCTTGCCTTCCCCAGAGGAATCCTCTGAAACTGAACTGGGAGCAGGTGCTGCTCTTGGTCCTCCTTTGCCTCCAGTAAAGCAAAGACCACAAGGACAGCCCCCTTGCATCCTCGGAGCTGCAGATTTCTCACTGTTCATGGTGTCTGACAGGGATGCTGCTAGACCAGGGCTTGCCTCTCTCTCAGAGCCTCTACAAAGCACCTGGATTCCAGCGTTGGGTTCCTTCAGCTGCCTTGCACTGTATAACTCACTGAAAGAAAACACTTCAGAGCCTAAACTTACTGTAACTTGATAAAGCACAAGTTACCTCTGAGCTCGAGTAGCTAAAAATTAGCTCATAAAAGAAGAATTTAGGACTATAGTTTAAAAAAACCCAATATATAAAAACGTTTGGTTTAACTTTAAAGCAAGTCCATGATACCCTGCTTTTATTACTGACCTTGCAAAACAAAGTTGATTCACTTTTAAAAGTGATGCAAAACATTACATATATATGTATTTATGATAATTTATATATTACAGGCTTACCCACTTGCAAAACAACCATTCTGCCTGGCAATAATCGGCATTAAGAATCTTTTAAACACTTTAGAACCTACTCGACATACAAAAATAAATATTGCATACATGATTTCTGAGCAAAACAAGCAGCACAAGTCACCAAAATACAGCTGTAGCTAGTAACAGTCCATACTCCGTGGTGGGAGCACATCAAGTCAAGTAACAGAAGCTCTTCACAGGATTAATACTCCCTCACGCCGTAGGACTGGGGGCCAAAATGTGAAAATACGCAAAGCCCCAAACCACTGGGGCCTTGCTGGGCACCAGCCCCTCAGCCCTGACACCCCCAGTTCCCCATCCACCTTCCTGCTCTCCAGGGGGGTCAGGACCACCCGCCCCCCTCCCAGGAACAGACGTTTTTTCGAGTTTTTCTGGTTCGGTTTCTAAACCAAAGTGATTTTCTGCCCCACCCCTGACGACTCCTTCCAGCTACTGCTGCCCCGCTGCACCCTCCGGCCCTCTCCGAGAGGAGCAGGAGATGGGGGGAGCCTCAAGGCTCCCTGACGCTGTGTTATGTATTTACCTTCTCCAGACAGGTTAATGAGACCCCAGAGTTAGTGCTCTAACAGATCACAACGAAGTTTCAAACGTTTAAGTGATGATAACAGCAGCTGGCGAGGATACAGTACTTTTAAGGAACGTGTTTTCACGGAGACCACTGGGAGTCTGTGGCAGTCCCAGCCGCGGATTCCGGGCCGGTTGTGGTGCGAGTTGCTTCCGAAAGCGGAGGAGCGCTGGTGGTTTGGCCCCGGCGGACAGGTGGGCACCGCAGGGGGCTCAGTCGGTGGCGGCCAGCCGCAGCCCCAGGCAGGCCGCGGTCAGCAGCGCGGCGGCGGAGAGGCGCGGGCCGCTGCTGGGCGGCGAGAGCGTGGCGAACACGGCCTCGGAGCTGTTCCTGGGCACGGGCAGGTTGCAGATGCTGCCCTCGCAGCAGGAGCTGCACACCTGCACGGAAAGGTTCCACTCGGTTACTGCAATCACACCGGGACCCCGGGTAAAGGCGGGGCGGAAAGAACTCGGCACAGGAGACCCGTGCCCGCTCCGGTTTTACCCCACCTTTTTTTTTTTTTTCAATTTTCCCTTTCTCCCCACCTTTTATTTTCCTTTCTTGTTTTCCTTCCCCCCCCCTCTTTTATTTTCCTTTCCCCCCTCTTTTATCTTCCTTTCTCTCCCTCTTTTACTTTCTTTTCCCTTTTCCCCCCTTTTAATTTTCCTTTTTTTCTTTCTCCCCCTTTTTATTTTCCTTTCTTTTTTTCCTTTCCCCCTTTTATTTTCCCTGCTTTTATTTTTTTCCTTTCCCATTTATTTTCCTTTATTTCCCCTGCTTTTATTTTTTTCCTTTCCCCCCTTTTATTTTCCTTTATTTCCCTGCTTTAATTTTAATTTTTTCCTTTTTCCCCTTTTATTTTCCTTTTTTTTTCTCCCCCCCCTTTTATTTTCCTTTATTTCCCCTGCTTTTATTTTAATTTTCTTCCTTTCCCCCTTTTATTTCCCTCTTTTGCCTTTTTTTTTCTTTTCCCCCCTTTATTTTCCTTTCTTCTTCTCCCGCCTTTTCCTTCCCCCCCCCCTTTATTTTCTTTTCCTTTTTTCCTCCCTTTTATTTTCCTTTTTTACCCTCCAGTTTTCTAATTCCATCTACTTGAAGAACAATTTCACCTGTACAGGAACAGTACATTGACTATCACAAGGAAGACACATCCCTTTTGAAGAGCTTATTTTCTTTTCTACCCCAAAAAAACAAACTGATGAAAACCCGTGTCACATGCCAGAACTCAAAAAACCCCCCAAATCATTATTTATTCTTACAGGGGCTTTTTATTGCCTATGACCTCGTGTGCAGGCACTGGAGCGCCAGCCCGTAAGGACACACGGCTTTGCCTTCTCGGGCGGCGAAGGGCCCAGCCCAGCGGGTTTAGAGAGCACAGAGCTGGGGCTGCAGTGTGCCTGACAGCTCAAAAACCTATTTTAACCCAAAGGTCAACCATTCAGAAAAAACCTTTATAAATAACTCTTTGATTCAGACATAAAACGTTTGCTCCCAAGGTTTCGGGGCGCTCTCCCACTCGATTCAGCAGGAAAACCACGAGCTGGTCATGAGAATCCTTTGCAGAGCAGAGGGGACACAACACGGTGCAGGTCTGGAGGCAAAGCACTCCTCAGCCAGGACGGAGTGGTTTGCTCCCCTGAGCTGCCGGCACGAGAGTTGTTTAAAGGGATTAGTCTTTTCTTCTGGGAGAGATTATTCCTTGGTTTCTGTAACAAATGGAAATGAGCTGGAGCTGGTTAAGAAGAGAAACTTAATTTTTGACGATGTTGATTTACCCACTGAACCAGTCAGACTTCTGGTGGAAGGATTCTGCCCGGTTTTCATATGGGAAAAGGCAGTTTTTTATCCTATACCTTGTATTCTTCATGCTTTACATATGTGCATCCTGTAGACAGACAGTCCTCTAACGGTACGCAGCGTTTGGTGACGGATACGCTCTCCCCGGTAACTTTCATCGTGTGTTGGCTAAAGCAGTATCTTGTACCTAGAAAGAGAGAAAAACGTGTTTATCTGTCAAATTCGAGTTTTGTGATAGTCTACAAGTAAGAGGAAATAGGAGAGAAGTCTTAGATTTTTTTCAAAATCTTGGGAATTTAAAAAAAATAATAATTTTGGATGTATTTATTGCAATATAAGAATGTCACTAAATAATACCCCCAAGCTCTGGCACAAACCTGAGGTTTCAAAGCACTCTGGAACACGGAGATTTGTTCCCAATGCTAACGTGGGTCTCTGTTACCGATAAACACACACACGTTGGATCATCAACTTACAGAGGGAGGTTCAGATAAACACCCCAAATCTTGTGCACCATTAGTTTTATAGGAATCACCTTCAAAAGAAGAAAACATTCACAATACCTGTTTATGTCTGAAGCTAACTTTCATTTGTGTAGGTTTAATTTTGATTTTTAATTTTAATTAATTAATTCTGTAGAACTACCTCAAGCATTACATATTGGAGACGCCTTCCCCTCTCTCCTAGCAGCGCCTGGAAGCTCTCCTCGCCTCTCACGCTCTGACCTTGGCTCTCCCACAGCTCCTGCCCAGCCCGGAGAAGATCCTTCACCCTCCCCATCCCTCAGTTTTATCATCTATAAAATAATGGCAAAATACCAGCAGAACAATTAGAGGGATTTATGTATTTCTCAGTTTGCCAATCTTTGGAAAAAGCACCGTGAAATGGACCGTGTCCCTGGTATTCCCAGCCCATCTTCTGCCTGCTTCCCCTGGGGGCTCCCTCATCCCCAAGGGAGACCATCCTCCTCCTCCTCCTTTTTTAAGCTACTTCTCTAGTGACACTGGTAAAACACACAGAAAATTCACAGCAGGATAACTGACTAATGCTGTGGTTATCCTCAGGCACAAAGGAATTTGGGTTTATTTCATGCTTTAGTTGTCAGAGGGAAGTTGAAGGTGCTGTTCCCCTTCCTGGCACTCCAAGATGAAAACACTGGATTTTCAATGCAGGAAACACACCATTATGTATTTCTTCTCTAAATTATACCTTGCGTCTTATTAATCAACCATATTATTAAAAAAATTGTTGCTTTCACAAGAGGGAAAAAAGGAGTGTAATTAATTTAAAGTGAACATTCCTGTTCTCAGAGGGGCAAAGCCCTGCATTCTTCTCATGTTTGAGACATTTGGCAACAGCCGAGCGAGACTGCTGACCAAACACGTTACTCATTAGGCAGTAAAACCCCTCAGACATCCACCATATCTTTGATCTGCTCTTAACTCAAGTGTGATAGCCACAGCAAACAGACTTAACTCAACGCCAAAGCTGGAGACGCTCGTGGTGCTGCCTCCCTTCAAACCAGCCAGAGCTGCACCACGCACTTTCCCCTGTGTTCTCCAGGCTCTCCTGCCCCAAGGGGTGAAGCTCCCCATTTCTCCCCAGCACTCTCCACACCACAACTTCGAGGTTCTCCCAGGACCCTGCCGGGAAGGGCCATTCCCCAGCAAATCCATGCGAGCATCACTGGAGCTTTACTTCTGCCCCAATGGCTCCATCCAAGCAGCGGCGCTTGCCCTTGACAGGTCCCAGATGGAACCAATAAAGCTTCCAGCACCCCGTAACTCTTTTAAAGCTGTTTCACTCCTTCTTCCAAATGTGTTGTTAGAAAATAATGTGCAATCACCTTGGAGATATGTATTTTCCCCTCATGGGGGGACCGAGCATGCCTCTCCTCACGCAGCCATGACTGCTAGATGTCACCCCCTGCAAGGTGAGGCTGTGGCTACAGAATTCCACAACAAACCACAAAATCCACTCAAATGAATATTGACTTTTTCCTCTTCTCAGAGCGGGTTGAGCATCCTGAGGACAGACACTACAAAAGGATTGGGCCAGAGAGCACGGGGAGAGGCCTGGGCAGAGCAGAGGTAGGAAACATCACCACGTCTAACCCATCACGACTGCTCTGCAGGTAGGGAGGCTGCTGCAGGAGTGGGGGAGGAACTCCTAGCTCAGCCCGCGAAGAACACAAGCCCAACGCTATAAAAAAATACCTAGCAAAAATAACAGAGAAATTTAGATCAATTAAAATGAAATTGCAGCATGAAAGTTGATACTTCTAAGTAACGTGGTGCCCGAGCCAGGCAGCAGTATGGCCCTGGGTCATGGTGGTATCATACCAGAAAAGCATGGATTTACGTTTCCTAAATTTTGCAGTTCCAGAGTGTCCTAAAGGCACCCGAGAGCCAGGCTGACTGTGGTGTAATAGGCTGCTCAGCAACACCTTCCATTACAAAAACATTTGAAAATGAGATTGTTGCTCTGTGTGATTAACCGGGATATTTTCAGGGCTGTTGATTTACACCAACCCTTAGTGGGACAGGTGACACTGACATCTCTTCTTCTGCATTTTTCCTTCCTCTGGTGGAACTGTCTTGCAAACATGACACAAAGTGCTTTGGCTACGAGGGGGTCTCCAAACACCTGTAACACAACAGCCTGGCCCAGCCTCCACCTGCTAGGAGCAGTGGGGAGGAGTGGCTGGAGAGCTGCCGGTCAGAGAGGGACCGGGGGGGGTGAGAATGAGCCAGAGTGTGCCCAGGGGGCCAAGGAGGGCAACGGCATCCTGGCTGGTGTCAGCACTGGTCAGGGGGAGGGTCATGGTTGGGCTGGAGGAGCTTCAGGGGCTTTTCCAACCCAGATGATTCTGAGATGAGGACATCAGCAGCATCACCCAACGGCTAAAATGCACATTCCCAGTGGGGTTCCCCTCACGGGCGCCCTCATAGACCCTTTAAAGGAGCACAAATGAGGAAACCAGCTACTGAAACCAGAAGTCATGGTGCAGGACTAAGACCCAGACTAAACTTAAGCAAACCAGCCCCTCGTGTCAGTACCCAGCAAGGCTGGTGTGTATCTCCAGGAGGAGAAACTGGAGCTCTCTCCTTTAAACCAAGCAAGGAAACACCAAATCGGGTATTTCAAAGTGCCAGGAGTCACACGTTGACTTTTGAGAGCCCCAAACCACAGCCTCCAGCAGCGCTGGAACGTCACCTCGGGCGTTGTGGCCACCATCCCCTTCCCTAGCTGTCAGCCCGCTCACAGGCTGTCCAAAAGTAGAGTACTGGGAGTATTTTGAGTGCAGTTATTTCCATACAAACTGGATCACTACCACAGTTTCTGCTTGAGCTGAACCCAATAAATAACAGAAAACAAGGTTAGTGCATAGCAGGAGGCCTGCCTTCTAGGAAATGCTTTTTCTAATCTCTTTTATACAAGGATTCATGTATAATTAGTTTTGTTATACACAAAAGGTGGTTCCCTCCAAGTCCTACATATAGTTAACGAAAATATTTTCTTTTGCTTGGTTTTAATAGCATTCTCTCTTAAAAAAATAAAACAAAAACAAAAACCAAACAAACCCAACAGCTGCTTTCTTGTTTTCTCCCACCAGTTAACCCAAGCATAATAAGCAAGGGTTTGGATGACTGCAGCGAGGGAGGCCACACCATAAGCATCCTCCTCTGGCTCCCAGAGATAAGGTAATTACCTGAGCAGATAACCCCAGAGCACGCCTGGAGTCACGCCTCAAACCCTAGGCTTGCGTTTCTGCGGCTTCCTTACCCAGACTCAAGATTACATTTGAAAATTAAAGCAACAAAAGTCAAAAGCTGCCTTAACAAAAGCTTTGGGACGCGGAAGTGTGTCGGATGTGAAGCTAAGAGATGCCAACAAAAGGTGATGAGGCATCCCGGAGTGGCAGCTGATTTCTGCAGTGTGGGGAGCACTGTCAGCTCTGCTTCTGGCTTCGCACCCCCTTTCCCCAAGGCCCTGCTCCTCTCAAACACGGGAACAGCAGTTACTCCTTCCTGGCTGCACTGGGGGGGGTCACTGGTCTCGCCCCAAAACCATCAGATTTTGGTCCAAACCCTGCTCCTGGATGAAAATGTTATCGGATCCCTTCCAGTTTAAGGAGATGAAAAGTCCTCAGTGCTGAAGATTAAAGACAGACTCAGATTTCCAGGTAGCCCCAGCTCATGGCTAAACCCCCATCTTACCTCATGAAGGTCCAGCGGGTGTTTGTACCAGCAGGCAGGAGGGCTGGTGACCGTAACCACCAGCTCTAATCTGGGTGAACGCAGCCAACGAGTTAGAGACACACCAAGGCACGGCTTTCACCTCCCCTAAACAGCCTTTATGTACTAAGGTTGCCTTCCAGATTAGTTGGTTTTTTTGGTCAAGTCATTTCACAGAATCATCGAGGTTGGAAAAGCCCCTGAAGCTCTTCCAGCCCAACCATGACCCTCCCCCTGACC